GTCAATTGAGCCGAATAAAAGTTCTACAAAAACAATAAACATACTAAATTAGATATACCAAAAACTACACTGTGAAGATATACCAAAAACAATAATAAACATAAATAGTAGTAGTTTATTCTTCAAACTTAAATATGCAACACTGTGAAGTAATCGCAACACGAAAATGACTATCGCAACGAGAGAATCGCAAATCGAAACTAAAATCGCGTTGCGATTTGCATTTCGCGTTGCGATTCTTGGTTGATTTAATAAGCAATCTAAGTGAAATGGTTAATCTATTATTGAAATTACCAGTAAACTTATCATCAATTTCAATATGAAAAACCTAAAAATAATGCAAAAATTTCAAAAAGAAAATAATTAAAAAAACTAACCCTCGTTGGTTGATTTGGTTGATTTTCCATTTCTGATTGTGAGGGTGGCTCTGAGAGATTTAGATAGACAGATTTCGCCGGAGATGGGGACGGATTTCGTCGGAGTTGGGTGAGAGAGTGAGAGATGGAGATGGGACTGAGTTGTGATTTTAGGTTTTAGGTTATGAGTTGCGATTACGGGATATACTGTGGACAGTTCAGTGTTCCAATATATTAATATTCATGTTTGGAATTTAAAAATAAAATACTTGGCCAGGATACTAATGGCGCTTTGAAAATCGCATTGCGATTATGTAAATCGCGTTGCGAAAGTCAGTATCGCGTTGCGAAAGTAAGTATCTCGTTGCGATTTTGTATTATCGCATTGCGATAGTAAGTATCGCATTGCGATTTTCCCAATTCGCGTTGCGATTTACTTATTCGCATTGCGAATTGGGAAAATCGCAACGATACTGTAGACCATCGCAACGCGATTTTCAACTATCGCATTGCGAAAATACAACGCGAATTTGCGATAATGGAGATCGCGTTGCGAATTAGCGATCGCATTGCGATTTTGTTGGTCATTTTGACAAATCCGAAAAAAGTTGGTTAAAATCGTATATTATATGAGATTTGTGGTCACTGAGGTTATTTTCTCTAATAATAATACCTCTTGCATTTTCTGACGACTCTTGCTTGTTCAACAATTCAGGAAATGACAGTTTTGCTTTCCGAAGAAGGAAGGTTGTTTTATAATCCTGATGATGAAAAATGATTAAACTGCCACCATTTCATTTTTATCTATTTCCGGACTTTGAAATTAAGATTAACGTGGATCGAAAGGATATTTTGCATTTTAAAGCGTTTTAATAAATAAATAAGATGTGGTTTCCACTTCTACACATTTTTTTTTTCAATTTAGTCGGCAAATTGCCAATCCTTTACCCACCAAAAACTGCTTTAATTCTTCAACTCCTCTCCTCTCACGTCAATTTGTTACATCCCAACGCTAAGCCCAACATATCCTTTCTCAGTGGGAGTTGACATTTTAAGTTTGACACTTGCAGATTTATATTAAAAATATATTTACACACGTACAATGTCTAATTAGGGACGGAACTATAATTTTAACGGCAGAAATTATAGTCTCCATTCTTTTACTTTAATTATTATTTAATTTTTTAATAATTTTAAAATTAATATATACATAACGTATGTGTGGCGTAAATATCCAATTCTAATACATACATATTCCATGTATGTGTGCATTTGATTGGCAGTTTTCTGGGCCTCCAAACAGGTCCAGATGCCGCTAGCCCAAAATTCTTCACAAATCCCCGAGCCTCTAAGCATTTCAATTTCTATCGGCAACGTTATGATCCGATACGTATTTGAATATAATATATCATCTTTGAAAGGAGAAAAAAGTGCAAATACACTCTTAGGTTCAGTCTATCAAATGTTTCATCAATATTAATTTAGTTTGTAATTTTATATATACATTTTAACTTTATATAATTTATATATAATTTTGGTCGTTATTCCTACAGGTTCCATATTCGAGTACAACGTCAGTTTGAATATTCATTGTCAAATAATTGAGAATATTTCAAATAGATATTAACTTGTAATCATTCCAGACTAATCAATATATGTGTATGAGTATATATACATATATATATGCACAAGCACGAATCCCATCGACCTCGGTGGTAAAGAAATTATTGTTACTCATTGAGGTCTCGAGTTCGAGTACTAGCAATGCCGAGGGTACGAGCGTGCAATGTCAAATAGTTGAGAATTATCTTTGAACATATACTACCTTATACTTACTCCAAATCAATAAAAAAAAATATCTATGCACTAACTATGTGAATGTTGAATATAATGCTTAATATTAATAATAGTAATTTATAAAAATTAAATCAAATTAAAATTGTATATGTAAATTTACATAAATTTAAAATCTATATATTAAAATTTAAAATACATCAAGGTTATGTGATTTTGAAAATTTATTCCAATAGGAAATATATTGGGAAGTGAAATTATAAGAAGCACCCATTTTTTTTTTTTTTTTAACAAAATCAATTTGATAGACACTAGTCTCGTAAAAACGGCCTAGAGTTGGGCTAATCCATCCAGCCCATAAATTATGTTGCAATTTTCATACATGTTAACATAAACATATATAGTATTTAGTAATTGCTCTGTAATCAATAGATTCATATAAATATTGAAATAGTTTGAAATAATTATAAGATGTAATATATGTTTATAATTCTTATAGTTATTAAAATGACGCACATCTTATAAATATAACCGTTTGAATTAACGACCTTCAAAGAGAATAATATTTCTCTTAATCGCTGAACTCATTTGATATGTTGAATTCAAAATGACAATTAATTCAAGGAATAATTAGAAAGTAGTTTCTTTGAATCTAGATTAAATTAACTTTCTTATTCATTGATTTGTGTGGGAATTTCGATTGACCTTGAGATTAATTTAGTGTATCTATCAAATTCTCAGAAAAGAAGAAGAAGAAGAAATCAATGGAAACAAACCGTATGAATTTCGTAGAAATTTCTGGAAAGATAATTAAATATTAAATCTGATATATCATATGAGAAAGAATATATATAAATATTATAAATAAAACCTTAAATGAAGTTCGACTAGTGCTAATTAATTTAATAATGTTGACCTGGTTACCTTGATGTTATTACGTCGAATGATTCAAATTGCAGCAGAAATGCAATAAATATAATAGGGAGAAAACATCAAAAATGAAAATTACAAAATTAGGGTACCAGTTATTCTTTATTATATAATTTAATTTTATATTAATAAATTATATTTTAGACATCATCAATAAAATAATATATATATATATATATAATGCCAGATATTCCTTGGTTTAATGATGAATTCCCTGCAATAATAATCCAGTATTTTTTTGGAGAATTATAATCGTGATGTATGTTTTAAATGTGATTGAAATATTATAATTATGGATGTTATAGACCACAATAATAGTGTTTGTTGTGAATAATTATTATAGTTATGGATGTTATAAATGTTACGTGATGTAAAATAATTGTTATAAATGTATTTTACTTTTTATATATTTTAATATTTAAAAAAGGTATAATTATATTTTTATAAATGTATCTTAATATTTTAATATTTTAATATACTTTTATTTGTATTTTATTTAATTTATAAAATAAAACTTTTTTGAAAATAAATATGGATGATATAAACATCAATACGAGGAAGAAGATGATCTCAAATCAAGACATTTCCAAGGACTTTCGCAGAAACTTTGTTCCAATAATTTTTTAAATAAGAGATTGTTAAGATTGAATTTAAAAAGTTATTATTAATTAATATTAAAATAAAAATAATAGTTATCATTATATCATAAATTGAATATTTTAAAGTACATGATTAAAAGAAAGGAGGAAAGAAGAAAGATGTAGACTTAAAAATGATGAAGTTGGAGGGTTACAAAGAGTGAGCATGGGGCACCCATTGTGGTTGATGCTCTTTTGTCGGGAATGAATCCACTATCCCTTTCAAACCTCAGATGGTACAGTGGGGATGACGATGCATTTGAATTCAATCTGAGCTTTGACTGTACCGGCTTTTTGTATTAATAATTCTGGCTCGCTTCTCTGCTACATACGCCTTACATTTATTCCTTGCACGAGGGCGGGCATGTCGTCGGTCAGCCAATCTCTACTTTCCATTTATATTTTGATTTGAGTTAAACTCCTTTTTATTAGTAAATGGTTGTTTATTTTTTTAGGTAGACAGCATGGAAATGTATTTATCAAGTATAGTTTATAGAAAGCCTGAGGCTGACCCACATTTCGCTTATAAACACCAACTTTGCTAGCTGATATGACTCAACTTTGTAAGGGAATGAAAACCCTAAATATTCCTTAAAGATAAAGTATGGGAAATGCCATCCGTGAAGTAAAAAATTTGAACTTTGGAACCACATGGGAAGGACATGGAGAAAATTAATAAACTTTGTGTTCTACAATTCTGGCAGAAAAGGAAAACAAAAAGAGTTCAATCAATTTCACCCCTCAAACTGAAAATGAAGGGTCACTGAAAAGACACTAATTAAGTAATATGTATACATTATATATATATATATATTTAAATATTTAATATATTTTATTATTGTATCCAATATTTATTAATTACTAATAACTTATTAATACTAATTAGATGCATCATATAGTATAACCATGTTGGGCAAAAAAAAAGTAGTAAACTATGTATGTATTCATGGTTATGAAAAGCGAAATAAGAAAAAAAAAAAGAGAAAGGAGGTAGTGTCATGTGATAATAATGGCAGAGAAAAACAGGTGATGTAAGATCTCAAATTTCAAGAAAAGAAAAATGAAATGGAACTATTATGAGTTATGACCAACATTTCATGTGCAAAAGCAAAAGGCAAGGCAAAGCTGACAACGTGCTGTGGACAATTTTCACCGAGCAATACAGCAAAGAAAATGGCTGACCAGTGGGTCTCCCTACGGACCCCACCCATGCAAATCTGTACCTCTCCATATATTGAAATGCAGATCTTGTCTAACAAAGGAGTGATTAAGGAATTTGATCCCTTTACATCGTGGTTGGTAATACAAACGGTGAAAAATTGTGGTCGACTGTGGAAATTGACACCAAAATAAATTCGGGTTTTGTGTATAAATTTGTGTGGTACTTGCTTCAAACGTTTTATAAACCCTCAAAGCTTGAAAAGTTTTCGTACTTTCTCTCTCTCTCTTTCTTCCTTTCTTGAGTGTGTAATAATGGCAGGGTTTAAGCATCTTGTTGTTGTGAAGTTCAAGGAATGTGCAGTGGTGGAAGAGATTTTGAAAGGTATGGAAAAGCTGGTTTCCGAAGTTGATGCCGTGAAGTCCTTTGAATGGTGAGTTTTTTTAAATCATTTTGCATGCTTGTATTTAATGCTCTTTCATTGACTAAATAATTTCTCGTTGTACAAGTGTTTTTATCCTTAAAATTTGATTAGGATGTTTATGTGAAGAGCTGAATCACTGGACACATGAACTGAAACTGTTGTAACAGGGGACAAGACATAGAAAGTGAAGAGATGCTTAGACAAGGATTCACTCATGCCTTCTTGATGACATTCGAAAAGAAAGAAGATTACACTGCATTTACTAGCCATCCCAGCCATATTGAATTCTCTGCAACGTTTGTTGCAGCCATTGACAAGTTGGTGGTGCTTGATTTTCCGTCTGTTGCTGCAAAATCTCCAGCGTGATCCTCTTGCCAAGATATCTTTCAACAATAAAAAAAAGAAGCTATCTAGGAATTTAAGTATTTATTATGCTTAATCTCTCTTTTGTTTGCATCTCTATGTTTTCTGGCTATGTGTTATGGTTTTCTGCCATTTCTGTCAATTCCCCAATAATCTTAATTTCAATTATTGATATGCATATCACATGCCATTTGCTTCGTTTTTTTTCGGGATACCGATATTAGGATTCCGACATACCGATATTTGCCTATCCCAACAAAGATATGCCCCAACTTTTAAATTGTAATATTTTTTAAGGACATGAAATAAACGGTTTCGGTGATTAAGAGATTTATTGTTATTTATTAAGGTCTTGAGTTTGAGTACCGCATATGCGAGAGTATGAGCTTTCATTGTCACAGGGTTAAGAGACTCTACATTTATAAAAAGAAAATTTATTCTGAGTATTTATAAATGTTAATATTAATTAATTTAACCTTTATTCTCAAATATTACGTTCGTATACATGTAATTAACAGAAAAATGTATGATAATCAGGGACAGACATAAGATTTTATGTTGGAACTAACTTATAAAACTTCAGGGAGTGAAACCAGATTATCAATAAAAATGCACAAAAAATTTAAAATATAGAAGAATTTAAAATTTTCAAGGGGATGACTGTCCCCACCCGCCCTCTCATTTCATCCATGATTACTTCATCTTTTATGCTGTAATAATTCTCATAATCACACCAAGAAGTTAGTAAAAATATGTCAATTTTCATCAAGATTGTTACTCCTGATTATTGGCAAAAGGTTACAAGTAAAAATGTATGTAAATATAGAGTAAGTGAGCCGACAATAAGCATGTGGGATGAGGACCATCAGCTTGAACCATTACCATATCAGAGAATTGAGTAGTAGTGAAGTGAAACATGCAGAATCTTGGAAAGGGTACTTAAAGGAAAGCGATTCCACTGGGGGGAAAAAAGAAAGGAAAAATGGCAAGCGGGCATGTATTATTCTGATGAAAACCAGCCTTATATCGTTATAGACAGGACAACATATGGTTATTGCAGTGAGAACACATGATCACCAATTTGCCAAAATCGACAACATTTGATCTCAAAGTCGGTGATTTAAATAACATAATCTATGCAGCTCAAAAGTGAAGGACTGGACAAGGTTTTGCTTTAATTCATTGTTACATGCAAAATTATGAAATAAAAAAGAAAGAGTAAATTATAATGTGCACTTGAAATGAGAATGACATATTAATTATTGCAATGTATTCATTCAAAACTGGGATTTTAATCTGATGAAACTCGCGGTTGAATTCATACTATTCACAACACTTTTCAACCACCAATAAAGTCTTTATATTATCTCAACCCTATTGTTTAGAAAATAAGCAAAGGAAAAATGTTCTATTTAACTATCCAAACATCTAGAAAACTGTCACTTCCCTAGAAAATCTTCGTATTTCTTGAAAATATTTTATCAAACTCATTTTTCACGAAACAAATTCACTCTCTCTCTCTCTCTCTATATATATATATATTTTATATTTAAAGAATAATATATCATATGCAATTACATATTAAACTCTTATATCTTATTTTATCTCTTTTATGTCTAAATTTATCCTATATTTTGTATAATTTATTATTATTTAATTGTGTTATATAAGAAAGGAAATTGAGAAGTAGTAAATCAAGGTCCTTAGCCGGAGCTCGTGCAAAACAGATGAAGCTTCTAATGCAGTTTGGTGTTGGCCTAGAATGGAAGGTCCTTACTTTTGCCACATTACGATTAGCGCATTAACTTTTCTTTTTTTGTACTTGGCCATGAAGGCATTGATATTGATGCTGCTACAAAGAATGGGATAAGAGTTGCTAGAATTCCTGGGGATGCTACTGGAAATGCTGCATTTTGTGCTGAAATGGCTATAACATCACGAGCAACAACTTTTTAATGGAAATTGTTTATCAGTTGAATAAACCATGCTCAAAATATGGTAGTTTAAGCAACTTGTGGAAGGGGACAATAGCCTTTAGAGCTGTTCTCAGATCTATATGGCCATTGACAGCTAGACTAGTCTCCTAGTTAACATTTAAAGCTTCAACAAATTTATTTCATATCCTTCACCACTCTCAGTTCTTTATCATCTCTTTTCTTCGGTATCTTGTTAACATTTATTGGAGCCTACAGTTTAGCTTCAGTGTTCTGCACATTTATTTTGAGAGACTGGTGCAGTCTTTCATAAATTTTCATGTCCTGCTCGTCATAGGATATAATGTGAGAGTATATTCTCTTCCTTACGAATCCAGCGATCCTTGCTATGTGGTTAGACATGTAGTATACCAACGGTTTTGTCTGTAGCACATGATGCAATCAATGTTCATTACAGTTAGCTATAACCAATTGAAGAAGGTGGCTATTCAGTTGGCAAGACTTACTCTACTTCACATCACTTTCTCGAAAGACATAGTTTCTCTAGCCTTTGTTACAGTGGATGGTGATGCATATAATTTATTTATATTTTGCTTTGCCTTCTCATGTTCTAAGGTATTTTGTTTTGATTTTTAGGTCCTTCAGTGAAGGTATGTCTTTGATGGTAGAGAGGAACACTGTTTACAGTAACAAACCCATCACTCGTGCTCTCTTTTGTGGACTACAGTTCCGGTTTCACAAAATTATACCAGAGAATACTTGGAGAAGTATCCTTTTATCTGAGTACTTCGCTCAAATTCTTCTGCTTATCTACTTTTTGGCTGTAGAATTGTACTTGAATAAATATTAAAGCGCCATCATAAACCAAAAACGCACTATTGTACAACACAAGCCAAACATATTTCTTGTTTTTCCTTTTCTAAATGTGTTGAATCTCTTGCATTTCACATTGATCTTCTTGTAGGTTGATGAATTGCCCCTCGAGCAAGTCCTGATCATATTGGAAATTATTATCTGTGTTGTAAAAAACATGCGATTCGATTCAAATGTCATAGCTCGTGCAAAACAGATGAAGCTTATAATGCAGTTTGGTGTAGGCCTAGAAGGTCCTTATTCTTTTACATTTAGAGTAGTCCGTAGCTTAAAGTTTTTGCCACATTACAATTACAATTACTGCATTAACTTTTCGTTATTTGTACTTGGGCATGAAGGCGTTGATATTGACGCTGCTACAAAGAATGGGATAAAAGTTGCCAGAATTCCTGGGGATGCTACTGGAAATGCTGCATCTTGTGCTGAAATGGCTATATATCTCGTGTTGGGATTTTTTCGGAAACAGGTTTATTAATTTTATTAACCAGGACTTGCATTGCTTTAATATGATCTTATGGTTCACTATATTCTTATTTGTCTGATTTGTGGCATACAATTTCCTAGATACCTGCAAGTTGAAGTATTTGAAACATGTATTTGTATGAAACCTTGACATTCATTTTGTTGGTGGTGTTGCAGAATGAGATGCAAATATCTGTAAAGCAGAAAACGCTTGGAGAGCCTATTGGGGACACACTTGGGAAAACAGTCAGTATCTGACTTATCTTTTCAGTTTTCCCTTTGCTTCAACATTACTTTTAGATTCTTGCATGAACATTGGAACCGTGCTTTCTTTTTCAGTTTTCATAGTGTCTGTCACTAATAATCAACTTGATGAGTAAATGCTTGAACTTCATAATTTTGATTATATCAGGCTAACTGAATTGCGAACAAAAAGAAAAAATTTCTTTTCTATTTCCTGGAAATGAAATGTTGGTTTGATGATATTGTAGGCAATGAAATCTTATCATATTTCAAATCATAGTTTCCATATTTTTTTTAGTTTAATTTTCACGTAGTAAACCCGCTTGTCCAGGTCTTCATACTGGGATTTGGAAATATTGGAATTGAATTGACAAAGCGTTTGAAACCATTTGGTGTTAAAGTTATTGCTACAAAAAGGAGATGGTCCTCAAATTCGGAAGTTCTTACTCCAAAAAGTATAGAAGATTTACCAAGTAAATAGTGTTAGCTCAGTTGCAATCACATTTTTCATTCATTATGTCATCAATATTCAGGCTTTCCCAGTCTAAACGGGGTCATTGATGATTTGATTGACAAGAAAGGCATTCATGGAGACATTTATGAGTTTGCAAGCGAAGCCGACATAGTTGTCTGTTGTCTGAGTTTGAATAAAGAACAGCAAGTCTTCTCTTTTCCTTCCAAGAAATAGTAAGGCTACAAATTTCATACAATTGAGATATTTCAATTTTTCAGGTTGGCTTAGCGAATAAGTCCATATCTTCTATGAAAAAAGTTTGTTTCAAATGCACTCCAAAATTGTGGAGTCAACTATCATGGCTTCTCTCTCTGTTCTATAAACTTTCAGTGATGAATCTTCTAATAAAATGGTTGCACTTATAGTTTGGCTTAAGTAGTTGGATGTTCATGTTAATAATAGTGTGATTTCAGGGAACCCTTTTGGTGAATGTTGCTCGAGGAGGTCTACTAGACTACAAGGCTGTTGAGCATCATCTGGAGCCTGGACAGTTGGGCTGCTTAGGAATGGATGTTGCATGGAGAGAACCATTTGAAATATATCAATTATCAAATTAAAGCATTTCATGGAATTTGGGGTATCCCCAATTTTCAAAATAAGTTGGGAGATTTATTTGGCATTTGATCTTAGTAAAATTATCTTTTAACATCACAAGATTTCTACTTTCAAACTGATTCGTCACCTGGAAGAGGGAATACAACTGATACGTAGAGTTGGATACTTTCTGGTGTAATATATCAACAGAAATTATTTCATCGATTATCAGAGTAATTTCAAGAGCTAACTTAACAAAGGACACGTTGCTTTTACACACACACAAAAGGAAACAGTTAAATACATGCAAACACCAATGGAAGTTCCGCTTAGAACACATGATAACTAAGGCCTATAAATGAGGTTTCAAGCAGAAACTTAGGAACTATGAGTGTTGCCGTCTTCAGCCAAGATGTTGTCCAGCAATGATTCGCAAGCATCTTCAAGTAAGTCTAAAACCTGTTATAGCAATTGACAACAAAACACATAATAAGCTTTGCCAGTTCCATGTAGAATGTAAATATTGCATAAATTGCAGAATGATATAGAAACATGGGAAGCACAGTAAGATAACATTACACGACATTTCCCAGGCACTTGTTCTCAAGCCTGAGCAACAAGGAACCAAAGTGGAAGACGATCAAGTGGGTGAAAAGGAGGATATAAAGGTTTTCTCTTCTAACATCCAAAATTATTTTTTCTTACTCTGGAATTCAACCCATTAGCAGAGGTGAGTTAGCAAAAGAAACCTAAGACTGAAATCTAAAACAAAAATAATAACAATAACAAAGAAGTGGGAAAAGATTTCTCCAAGCAGAACTTTCAATTTCTTCCCTACATCGTTTATTCTTCTTCCCTTTCTTCTTTTCAGATCCCCCCCCCCCCTTTTCCAATACTTCACCATATCTAAATGCTTCTTCCTTCTCTCAATGTCGTTTTCCCACAAAGCACTAATGACCTAAATAGCTCACTGTTTTGCAAAGTCCATGAAACATTCCCCAGGCTCCAAAGTATGCAAAAGAAAACATCATGAAATGATTCCCATGCCAATGTTAATAATCTACCTTGAAATATGAAAATCACTATACATTACCTTCTCGAAACCTTGTGGTCCACCATAGTATGGATCTGGGACTTCAGTCTCATTGTGTTTCTTACAATACGAGCACATCAGTCTAACCTGCATAACCAGTACAAATATCTGAATGGAAAAGCCACCCCATAATTCACTGATAATCTCCACTCTTAATATTCCACTAACCTTTTTATATGCATCAGCGGGAAGTTTGTCTCTGGATTTCCACTTATTGAAAGCCTTTAATATATCCTCTGCATGAAATAAAAGTAACTATCAATACACAGATAACTAACACTATTTGTAACATAAGTGAAAATGAGAAATCAAAAATGAAAATAAACCAAAAAATTCAATTTAAAATTCAAACTCATAGAATGAGAGTTAACAAGGCTAAATTAAACAGCCAACCAAAGAACGGTACCTCTATTTTGCTTGTCCATAGCAAGAATAAGGTCAAAATCACTAAAATCAGATGCCCGGATTGGCCTTGAAATAGATGTTATCTCAATGCCACGCCTTTTTGAGGCTGCCCTCATTCTTGGGTCTGCCATGTTTCCCTTCACAATACAAAACAATTAATTAATTTTCTTTTCTTTTTTAGAAAAAAAATTATATATAATTTTCTCTTCACCACAAGCCAACGGTTGCTTCGAATAAAAAGATTAAAAGGTTAAAGAAAAAGGTTTATGATCTTATTAGTTACATTGCTTGGAATCCTAGGAGATATACATTTTTATCCTTTAAATTATTTGGTGCCACAGAAAGCTCCGATCTTAACTCATAATCGTTCTATTACCAAAATCATAAGCAAAAAAAAAACAGATAATTTACCACACAAGTGTAAAATCTCAGTCTAAAAATACCCTTTTTAGCACTTCTGAAGTGAGATATGTATATACCTCATGGTAATTAATAGTGCCAGCAGAGTCAATGTTAAACTTGGAGTCGAGGCCTTTCTTTTTCACAATATCTCTAAAGACACCTTCAGCAGCTGGACTCCGGCATATGTTGCCTAAGCAAACAAAGAGAACAGAGAAAGGCTTCGTCTCTGTGGCTGCCCCTGTTGATGGTGCTGTTGATGCCATCGATGCTTTCAACAGCGGCCTAAAAGCAGGAGAATTGGTGGGTTTTTGGAGGGGATATGGAGGCGATTTCGGGTTTTGGACAGATGGGTATTTGGTTGAATGAAAGAGAGGAATAAAAGACGAGGTCTTGGAAGAAAGGAAATGGGAGTGGTGGCAAAATGGTGAATATGGAGGAGTTGCTGTTAATGGCAATCTAGTTGTGGTATTGTTCAGATATGGCCTCATAACGCCTGCAAATGTGGAGATGTGATAAAACCGGATTGGATGTACAAAAAAAGTGAATTGGGTGTTGGGACAGTGTTAAAAGTGGATTAAAGATTTAAGATGGATAAAAACATTAAGAAGCATGAGGCTTGTAATGGATTTGGACTTTCAGAAATGGGTTGGGTTAGTGGCTTAATGCCCTTCAATCTTCATGGTACTATATGTATGTGCGTGTGTATATATATATATGTTCTCATTCTCAAAGCAAAACAAAGAATTAGCTTTCATATTAGATTTTTGTTAAACTCATCTTTCAGATGCACCAGAAAATTGGATCCCCTTCATCGCACAAGGGAAAAACATTTGCTTTAGAGTACCGTGTAACATGGTTGACGATGAAGCGTTTTGGTTTCTGCGAATATTCAAATTACAGAAGCATAGAACAAAATCAGCGCTACCACAGGTGATAAATTGCAAACTTGGATGATTACTGTACTTTTTGAAGACTCAACTAGCTCTAGTGTATATTTATATCATAGTAATAACTTGTCACCATTTTTCTGAATTTCATTTACAGTGTGTGTATATATATATATTAAGATACACCAGGAAAAGAAAACTCGCAGTTAAAAAGAGAAGCCAGAAAAGAGCTTCCTTTTCTCACATCAGATAAGCCCTAGCTAAAACAAATCAAACTCCATATGGTCTTCAGTGCCCTGCAATTCATCACCTTTGGAGCTGTCTTTTTTCCGCAAAGCTGGGGATGACACACAGATGCCGGTTTCACAGACCCTTGGCATCTCAGGTGGTATCGTGCAACGTATCAGAGCCCAATTTATGCCTTCAAAGAAAGGGTGCTGTTTGATCTCTGCAGCTCCTTTCACTGATCCTAACCGGTTCTCAGGTTCCTTAACTAAAAGCCCTCGTATCAGATCTCTTGCATGAAAACTAACTATAGGGCTGCTAGGAAACCTAAGGCTATGGGACACCACATTGGATAGTGTTTCATCGTTTCCCGAACCCTTGAAGGGTGTTTTGCCATACAAAAGCTCAAACAGAAAGATACCGAATGTCCACCAATCAACAGCATTTCCATGACCTTCACCTTTGATGATTTCTGGAGCAAGATATTCATGTGTTCCAACAAATGAGTTTGACCTGGCACTGGTTGGCTCCACTACAAGCTGTGGCATGGGGTTAATCTGAGTAGATAGATCAGATTTTATCCTCCTTGATTTGGAAGAAAGAGATAGAAGCCTAGGAGTGAAGCATGGTACTTGAAAGGATGGATTGAGGCAGAAAGGCTCGATACAGCTAGACACGGAGCATGGACTTGACATCTTCTCTGCATGCCCAGCAACGGATGAAGTGGATTTAAGAACCACTGGACTAGCATCACATCTGAGTGACAAGTCGAAATCCGTGAGCATAATGTGACCATCTTCTCTAACCAATATATTTTCTGGTTTTAGATCTCGATATACAACACCAAACATGTGTAGGTACTCCAATGCAAGGAGGACTTCGGCACCATAAAACCTGCGTAAATGAAAAGAAATTGTAGGAAGAAAAACATCAGAAAACCAGGGCACCAAGAAACAGTGGATGAACCATATAATGTTGATTCAAATCTAATTCTAACAATCTTAATTATGATTGAAACCTCGTATATCTGGTGTTACGAATTTGACTTTAAGCTCCATCACTTGCATGCTCTTGAGAGGATTACCAAAACCAAGTGCACGGCAAAGGATTCTTTATTTAAGAATTCAAAATCAGATTTTCTCTGTATAAGTTTCAAATTAAAATCTGTGGAAAAATTTCAATCCTGTTCTGAGGTGCATGAGTTTTCATGATGAAAACTGCCTTTTTTTTTCTTTACCTCTCCTTTTTGCTTTAAGTTGAAATTACCAACGACTAAATGACACAAAGAATGAGAAACAAAATGCTTAGATCTTTCACACAAAAAACGGGACATCATTTTCTCTTCCCTATTTTCTTGTATGACCTACTAGTTGTGCATAATCAGAAACAGATAAAATTAAGAACAATGTAAATGAACACTAAAGATTCCTGTCAGCACAAACTAGAAGCATATTTTAACATCATTAAAGAGATAGATGTTACCTTACTGATTGTTCAGAGAAACTCCTTCCAAGTTGCTTCTGTCTTAACACATGCAAATCACCACCTGGACAATACTCCATAACCAAGCAAGAAAGTTGTTCTGTTGCAAAATAGGCATATAGTGTGGGGAGAAAAGGATGATCCAGCATTTGCATTATCTCCTTTTCTGTTTGTGCCCTAGGAATCTTCTTTTGGCTCAACAAAAATTCATTGTTCATCACTTTCAAAGCAAATAAGCAGTTTGTATTGGTTAGCTCAGCAAGATAAATAGTCCCAATGTCCCCGCAACCCAGCTTCTTGAGAAGCTTGAAGTGTTTCAAACTCAAGCTTCCATGCTGCTTCCAGACGGAGCAAATAGCTTCCCACCTCAAATTTTTTGACATGTGAGGTCTGCTACCAATCCGACTGGAATCATTGATGTTGCTTTCTTCACTAGTGATTGTGCTACTACTATTCTCCCCAATGCTACTTTTCGAGCTTTGGGAAAACTCTACCTTTTCCCTTGATCTTGATGTGTCATCAGAATTGATCAACAATGGTTTGGATTTGTTGCTACAGTTTGAACTCGAAATCGGTTTGAAACTTATACTCACCGTGCTTGAGTTAACTTCAATGCTGCAACTTGAACTGCTGGAAACTTGAGAAACTTTCATATTTTCCTTTCTTCCATAGCCTGGAGGCTTCTCAATTTGGCTATCTGAATAACTAGTACTAGGACTGAGATCGTTTCTGTAACAAACATTACAGGAATTCAAAGTGCTGATAGTAGTAGTTGATTCTTCTTTTGCTTTCTTCCTCATAAAGCTTTTGTGCCTCAAGACTGGCTTGATTAGATGCCGATTTTCGCAAACAGACTTCACCCTCCCAGCGGCACTAGAAACAGGAGGAGGAGATTCAGCGAGCAACTTTCCCTTTGGCTCCTTATCTGGCAAAGGAGTTTCAACACAAATTGGGATAGAATAACAACCAATCTTCATGGCTTCCTTGGAAGCATGATTAACAGTGGAAGAATCTATATAATTTAGCCTTTTAAGTTCAGCTTCTGAAACTTCATTTTTAGACTCCATGGTCAAATGAACAATCCGATCTGCATCCGGAAATCTACTGGTTGCCTTTTCTGTTGCTGCATTATCGGAAGGGCTCGAATCTTGGTTTAAAACCTCCTTGTTTGACACTTGCAAAGATTCGGGCATCTGTTCCAAAGAATTGGATGTGATCTTTACAGGAACAAGTGAGATTTCCACTAAATTCCCTTTACCTTCATTTAGGGGAACTCCAGATCCATTTTCTTCAACTACTACAGCCCTGTACAACCTTCTTATAGTTCCTGCTTCTGAGACCCCTGATGAACCTGCTGGTTTTGTTAACCGCTTCTTCATAGCAGCCATCTCTGATGCCTGGGAGATAGACAATCCTCTAAGTGCCTGCTTCAAACTCATGGGTTCAGAAATTCCAATTCCCGAAGCATGACAAGGACCAACTCTAACTGGTCTTTTCATTGCACGCTTCCATAAAGTATCTCTACCAATTTCCCTTGAGAAACCAGAAACCCTAGACGATGTCCTAACGTTGACAGCTTCAAACAGATGATTAATGTCATCCTCAATGGAATACTTATTTCCTGATTTTGGCATATAATAGCTCTTACCAGGCTCTCCCATTTTCAATTCAGCAAATATTTCATCAGTCGATTCAACAATTTCAGAAGTACTAGGCCCTACATCCATCTTTTCTAAAATTCAACTCAAAGACTATACAACAAGAAAACAGCGGAACTACCGAACTAATAACTATATAATCTGCAAACTTACTCTACCTATTTCTGAGAAGAATCTGGATCTCAAAGAATGAGTAGAACTGAGAAATAAAACAACCTCACTTATCCCTGAAGAGAACCTTGGATCATAATGGTTCTCGGGTTTATATTGCCAATCAAAACCGCACTTTTTAGTTTCAAAACACAGAATTCAAATTCCAGAATGTATCACAAAGTTTGAGAGAAATAGAAGCCATGGATAAAATAAAATAACCTATCATTGAAGTAGACCTGCACAATTCAATGAAAGGGTTTGAGTAATTAATCAACAAGCAACTAAAAGTTCATAAAATAAATTGCCATAAGTACTACAGGGTTCCCCCCCCCCCCCACTTTCTTCATTTTCGAAATTAAGGAAGCTTAAGGCTACCGAAATCCTGAAGCACAATAAAGCTGTTAGCTATACAACAACCGACTTAAAGACTAAACACTATATTAGAGTTTTGTTGAAAGCCCTGTTTATTACAAGCTCTGAGCATTGAGTTTCAACTGAAATCCCAAGCCCATATCAGGGCTTTTGGATTAAAGAAAACAACCAACCACCATGTGCAAACAACAAATTTTCACACCAAAAAGGAGCATAAAAGGTTAAGCTTTAAAATCCAAAAAACATAGCATTAAAGAATCAAATAACTTTACCTCTAAAAAACTGGCGGGAGCAGTAAAAAAAGATATAAAACTCTTGCAAGTACATAGATATTTTTAATGGAAGAAGAATTTGAACAAAAAAGTAAAGTTTGGCAAGAGTTAAAACTCGAAAAACCCAAAATAAATAAAGAGAAAATTATCAAAGGGGTAACTATGAAACTGAGAAATACGTGAAACCCAAAGAAGGGTTACCTTTGTAGATGCCAGGCAAGAAAAAGAATGAAAGGCCGAAAATTTGGGCACCTAGAGAAAGAGAAAGAGGATAATTAGGGTTGGGACAAGAGGAGGGAAAAAGAGAGGAAAAGAAAATTGTGAATTGAACGAATGAAGATATAGAGAAAGGGGGAAATAGGAAGGCGAAGGTAAGAAATGCAACTCACGAAAAGTTTCACCTTGTTCACTCAACTACGACGACTGCTTCCCTACAATTTTTTATTTGAACTCTGTAATGGCTGAAAATTAAATCTGTTGTGATAAATGAAAAACAAAATAAAAATATACTTTAACTTACTCTCTACATTGTTCTTTCTATTTATATTTTTAAAATTAAAGAAAAATAAATGTTGAAAATAAAATTAAAGATTTGAGGACGATGGATAATTAAAGAGTTGAAACTTACTCTAATAAAATTATTAACTATTGTTGGCGATTTTATTTTACTTTTTGTTTGTATTTTTAAGATCAAATTGAAAAATCAAAAATATAAAAATAAAAATAAAATTTTATAAAAAAAATGATTATATAATAAAATAAAGCTGTAAATTCAAATAAAAAGTGAAAATTTAGCTACCTTAAAGTTAATTTTTAAAGAAATATATTTAATTATATTATTTTATATTTTATAATTTAATTTTAAAATGTAAAAAAAAAAATCTTCTTCATCTGTCAATAATACAAATCAGTGTAGAATCCATTCTATTTTCTTGCATATTCTGTCACGATTCTCATTTTTCTAATTTTATTTTCAACACCAATATTTCCCACTTACAAAACAAAAGTAATGAATAGTTATGGGGCAGGAATAGAAAATAGTGACTGAAATTACAACAAACTAATTATATAAGAAGAAAACAAAAAACAAAAAACAAAAGAACATTTGTTCATGGAATCCGAAATGTAGCAGTGTATATGTTATATTCACTTGGAGATGTAATATGATTGTCCACAAATAGACAAGAGCGACATAAATATGCAAAATCAATCCATCTCCATTTCTTTTCACAATGGATATCAAAGCTTCTGTACATATTCTCCACTTTTTTTGTTTCCCCGTGAAGTGTTGGTATATAACGTTGGGAATATAAATGAAGGTACATCTCGTTTTATTTAAATGTTTAAGTATTTTTTTAAATAATTATTTTTACTATGATACGATAAAGACTTTTCTACACTTTTACCATTCAAAAACATTCCTTATTAAAAAGAACATCTTCATTAGATTCTATTTAGTGCCGCGGCTTAAAAAAGCCAACTAGTCTTCACATTTTACGGTCAAATTCGTAATTACCCGCGACGCTTTTCCAAGTGTAATTTTTTCTCCCCTTTCAAGGTTAATGAATAAAAGTTGATTAGAAAAGTTAAAGGCAGTGGGGAAATGGCAAGAATCGACGCTCCACCAAAAGCATTTGAGTTGAGAGGCAAATTATACTTTGCAATGATTAATTGGTTGGATCGGTCAAAGTTGAATTATAACAGTTAAAAAAATTATCTACCAAAATATTATTAGCATGGAAAACTCACACTAAAAATAAATAAAGTATATATTGAAACATTGAATCAACATTTCCGGTTTTTATTAATTCTCGTTGTGCTGTATAATCCAAATTAAGGCAAATGATACTTTCTTTGGAAGGTTGGCTTAGAATTTTGGTATTATTGTTTCCCCAACCTTTTTCAAACTGATTCATAAATAAATGGACTTACCAAATTTTATACGTAAAAATGAAGAAAACAAAATTAAATATGATGTTTTATAGTGGTTAATTGATTATCTATTAAAAAAATTACAATATTAGCATTAAATGTTTTTTTAACAAAACCTTCTAAATTATTTTTACAACTTTGATCACGTTATTTTTTGAAAAAATTAATGGCGATGAGATAAACTGGTTGAAAGAATGATAGAATAAGGGTACTGAAAAGAAAATAGTATAGACGCTAGACTGACAGTTTAGGTGCACTATAGGGAAAGCATATAGAGTTAATTGCACCACGTGTCCCTAAACCATAACCTTCATCTTAATTTGATCTTTAAACTTTTAAATATTATAATTTCATCCTCAAACTATGACTCTCATTCTAAATTAATCCTTAAACTTTGAACATTCTAATTTCATCCATAAATTATGACCCTTTTTCTAAATTAGTCTCCAAAATTTTTAAATATTCCAATTTCATCCCCTAATTCATCCAATATATAGTCAATTTCAACCATAATTTGACGTACACTTTATTTTTTCAATCATATAATAATATAACTTGGCCTAACAATTCTATTAACTATAGATGTGATTAGTATAGATGTATAATTTGGGATAAAATTGAAATGTTCAAAAAGTTTGGAAACCAATTTAGAATGAAGGTCATAGTTTGGGGATAAAATTGAAATGTTCAAAAGTTTATAGACTAATTTAAAATGATAATCATAGTTTAGGGACCAAATTCAAACAAGACTCATACTTTGAGGACATGCGATGCAATTAACTCAAGCATATATTATGCCTAATTTTCAAGTATATTAAATTTTCTAGTACTCCAAAATTTAGATGCAAGTTTCTTTTCATTTAGGTATGTATATTAAATCTGGTCTATTCTAATATTTGGGTTCAATTGTTTTTAAAGTTAATTTATTTTTAAAATTAAAAAATTAAGTCTTGGTTCCTAATTTTTGGGTCAAATTACTTCTTTAAATCTCTTATTAAGCCATGATCTACCATTTTCACTTTAAATACTTCATACATTTGTTTAATTTTAAAATTAAATAAATTAAATCAGAACTATTTCTAAATTTTTAAAGGATGTCTAAAATTTGTATCATAATTCCGTGCATCAGGCATAAGACAGAGAACAAAATCACCATGAGCTGGTGTAACCATATTAGCTATAACATACATGAAACGCGTTTGGCTGGCTTCTCGGATATCAGAAATAACTTCAAGCCTCACCATCAAATGATCATTGGATTTATTGATTAGCCACTAAAGCACTGACAAGTTGTCACGTTCCACAAAACTTTGCTTATTATCAGTAGCTTCGATCGTTTTCAAACCCTCTAAAACCGACCATAAGTTGTTGAACATGAACCAAGATATTTATAGAAGCTAAGCAACCAATGATCATCATTAGATTTCAATTATTTATGGGGCTTGACAGTGTATTTATAATGAATTGCAGTCGTAAAAGTACAATAGAAATCAGTGTTTTTAGTTTTTTCCCCCTTCATATCATATATTTATTTTTTGGGGGGTTAAAAGAGGTCCAAGTTCTTAGAGAAATCAACAGCAATCATCTCTGGAAATGCAAACTATATACGTTGACAGCATAACCCCATCTATCAATTTATGTACGTCCTTATACCAATCCATAAACCACAAACCATAACTTGCTTTAATAAAAAAATTCAAAACTGAATTGAATTGATAGTTTTCTTCAACTACATATTCCAAAGAAAACTCAAACTTAAATGAAGATGAAAGAACAATGTCCAACCAGAGACTAACAAACATACTAAGCCATATGCCACTTAAAATAAAACTAACTTGCAAAGAGAGGCCTTAATAACTGAACTACTGGCTTAATCGAAGAGGCTGAAACCCATATCCTGTATCAAGATTCAAAGAGTAACTTAAGTTAGTAAAGAACACATGAATAAAGAAGTCAAATATGAGTAGCAAATTTGTGAGTAAAACGATCATTACATCATCAGACTCTTCCTTCTCTTCGACCTTCTCTTCTTTCTTGGCCTCGGCAGCTGGTGCAGCACCACCGCCAACACCACTAGATGTAGGAGCAGCAACAGCGGCAGCACCACCACCTGAAGGAACTGAAGCCAACTTCTCCCTTCCAGATGCAATTAGCTCGGTGATATCTTTGCCTTTGACTTGGGACAACAGCAACTCTATCCTATCATCATCAGCCTCAGCTCCAACTACAACATACATAATAAAAGAAAAAGAAGTGATTCTTGCCTGAATGCTTGTTTGCATTTCAAAATTTGGATTCTCAAATTAAAAAAAGGAATAAAATTTGCATAATACAACGCATGCATTCATGGCTTGAAATTCGAAATTCAATTTTTTATACAGTCGAAGCATATAAGCATATTGAATCTTACCAAATTTATATGGATTTTATTCTTAAAATTTATAGCAAATGAAATCAAATATCATGTTTCAAAATAAATCTACTAGAATTTAGTTCCAGTTCCTTAAATTTCATTACAGTTTCAATACTTCCGTAGTACCATTGTGCTAATATTTACAATTTGCAATTACTATAACTAGAATACAATGAAAAATAAAATTTCGATATGTAGATTTGACAAAATTCAATTAAAATCCAATGAACGCATTAGAATAACAAATTAACAAATCATAGCTGAATTAAGCATAGATCACGAAGTGACTATCGTTACATCAAAGATAAGAGTTAAAAATATAGAAAATCAAGAAAACAAGAGAGTGAGAAAAAGACCAGATCCGAGAATATCCTTCAGATCCGCGGCAGAAGGGCAAAGGTTCCCTCCCAAGACGGCAAGCAAGTAGGCAGCGATCACCTTCATTTTCCACTCGACCAAGAAAACCTTAGAGCCAGAAGGGGAAAGGAGCCGTGGGGAAAGAACGCTAGGGTTTCCAAAGAAAAAAAACGAAGATACATTATAAATGCCGGTGTTGCTAGTTTTTTTTTTTTTTTTGCTTTTGTCGATGACCATATAATTTCAATCGTGGCCGCTCATTTTAAAATAGTATTTTCTTTTCCTATCAACGAAAATGGCCAATATCAAAGGGAAAAGAGGCCCTAAATAGAGAAATGGTTCGAAGCCCATAAATCAAGGACATTTGGGTAATTTTGTTTCATACAAGAAAAGCGCGGGAAACCGCTTTACCCTCCCTCCTCCCCCCCCCCCCCTTGAACTTTGACTGCCTGAGAATATGTTACTTGAGAAACCAAAAGCACCACCGCGCAAAATGAATTGCTGAGATAACCGATGGCAGGACCGGCGAGACCTTCGGAGATCGAATATGTAAATGAAAAGAAATTTATCATGCTTGTATCATAAGTTTCAATATTCTTTCTATAAATGAAATTTTCTGACCGTTCCAGGATTGACCATGCTTTCCTATCATTAAGTAACGAGTTTTACGATTTACTTGCTTTTTTATATTATTAGCTTCGAAATTAAATTAATAAAATGTGAAATACAATTAATTGATTAAACAAATAACAATTGATAAGAAAGTTGGAGACTGGCATCATAATCTAATAATTTTAGACAAACAAGAGATGGATAACATCAAAACCTTTTATACCACAAACATGTCAATTCATATAAAATTTATATCTTAGACATGAAAAGTAACACCATGAACATGATATAAGCATGCATATGTTATTCTAGCAGACACTATGATCTGATTGAAATGAAACTCATGCACGCCGGTACTCGTCTCCACAATCCCCTATCACTCTAAGCAGATCTTTCCCTCTTTTTGAAACTTCTAGGATGCTGCTCACATCTTCCTCGTCAAGAACAAGTGAAAAGATGGCATTTGTGTCTTGGATATGTTCTGATAAACCAAGTCTAACACCAACCATTGACCCTGCTACTGCTGTCTGTCATAACATTCCAGTAAATCAAGCAGAAACCGCATTACGTTTCAATGAATCATACTCAACAATCCTTAAATAAATAAATAACTTGTATGTAATTACCTGATCTAGTATGTATTTAACAGCAACAGTTGGGATTGAAACTCCATGCTTAGATGCTACTTTTTTTAGAGTCTGAAGTAACGTTTGGAATAAGCTCCATCCTCCCCAAGCATCAACCATCTGCCACATTCATATTGATATCAAAATACCACAAGTAAAAGGTAAAATTATACATGTTCAACCATTTAAGGATTTTTTTCACAAGTTTTCACAACTTGTTGAATTTGTTTTATATTCCGTAATTTTAGGTTTTAGGTATTTCAAGGCAGATTCCTAATTTGTAAATGGGTTTACAACATTCCACAATTTCTAATTCGGTGACGTTTCATTGTGTTTACGATTGAGAAATTCAATATAGAATATAAAACAGCAAAACTGTGACAAAAAAGTTTGTACCCTTTTGTACTTCTGGAGGGAGGGGGTATTTAAAGGAGGGCCGGCAAAGGGAATTGCCAAGTTTGTGTCAAGGAACTTCTCGGATAATAGACCACCCATAACCGTTCCATACCTGCATTTGAAATTCTCATCAATATTGCTATTAAGGCAGAGCACTGCCTAGTCATCTAATAGAAATAAATAAACATAAAATTAGAGTGCGCAAGAAATTTGGTCATCATCTAAGAAAGCAACATTCATTGAGAGATTACATTTCTGGCCTCAAATTAATTACTTATCATTGGTTTTTTTCTTGGTTAGCTCGTTCTATCTATTTTGAGAACATTATCCACAATGCCTGAGCCATAAGTTGACAAGATGAGTTTGTGGGGTAGCGTGTGGATATATATGTATGTATGTATGTATATTTATATATAGAGAGAGAGACGTTATCAGTTTGACTCCTGTAAGCTGACAAAGCTCTGCCATTTTTTGCTGAGGGCGATTGTCCACAATTGAATGTTGCACCTGATGATGCATCATTGGCAATGCCACATACATAAATTAGCCAATAAAAGAGATATAACTAACACCTGATTACTTGTTGAAAACAAATAAATACCTGATTACTAACAACAGGAATTCCATTCTCAAGTATTATTTGCAGCCTTTCCGTATCAAAATTTGTCAAAGCAACAGTTCTAATTTTACCTGCACATTAATCAGAGAAGCATTTTGATTAAACTTAGAATTGCAGCTTATCCAAAATCAAAGCTAAAATAGTGGAGAATGAATTCTAACCTTCTTCTTTCAGATCAGTGAGGTGTTTCAGTGCATCAAGGTAGCCGGGATTGGAATAATCCCACCTGTTTCAAATAGATGCAAAGAAATACAATGTAGCAAGGAAATTAACAAAATTATAGTTTATAGAGGAAGTTCAACCAGCAAAGCATGATTGAATATGGAGGAAACTTTTGGTTGCACAATGAAAAAAAAATTAAAAGTGAATACCACAGTAAAAACTAATTAATATAAAGTAAGTCAATCCATGAATGAAATTCAAAAAATCCCATCTTGTCTAGCATGCACTTAAACCTAACAAGGTAGTATATTCTGTTGAGTCCCCTTATCCAATGGATATAAAAATCTTCAAGACTCAACACAGGGTTTATTGATCTCGGTGCTTCATTACCACGATTAAGAACTGAGGTGATATTAAACAAACATCATTCGAATGCAATATATACTACATAGACAAAATGCCAAGCTGAAACATATATTATTTAACAAAGACACTGAGCTTTTAACTAATGCCATTACTAATAAAACAAACAAAAATAAAATCAAACAGAAAAAAAGTAAAGCTTCTAACTCCCTATCCCCTATTCAAAGCAATATGATTCTCCATGAAACAAAGAGTAAATTTGCATCATTACATAAAGTTTTAATGGGAAGTCTCAAATTTCTATATATAATTGTTCTAAGTGGATAGAAAGTGTGACATATGCTTATTAGTACCAGTGAAACTGCAGCATGTCCAATGAAGGCACATCCATCCTCTTTCGTGAGACATCAATGTTTTCCCTGACATAGCTACTTGTCATCTTTACTGGTGGAGGCACCCATTTAGTGAGACTGCATGAATAATACAACAGAGTAAACGTAACAAACAAAATTACTCTTGCAGAACTCTTTGGGTTTATAAACTGTAGTTTGTGAAAGGTAGCAAAATAACCTACAAAGTAAAATAGCACAGAGTAAACTAGAGTAGTGCCTAAGATAGCTTATCTTAATCAAAAACTAGCAGAAGAACATGAATGTTGGGCCAAACATGGCTATAACTCACCCTCTAACTTTTTCCAAGTACTCTGGTGGACGCTCTCGGCGAACTCTATTGATAAATATGCCATAAAGATCTTCTGCAGGTCCATCTGCAATACCAGAGAAGCTTAACAATGAAAGAATACACACATACAATACTAATTTCCAAGACAACTCATAAAAACTGTAACAAAATGTACAAAACTCCACTTGCAGAAAATTTCACAGAGACCTCTTATACATTTCAAATATTTAAAGAGTGGTGGTCCTCAATCAACTAATTATACATCCCATCTGGTGACCAAGATAACTCACATAAATTGTAACACACTGAAAGAAAATTTACTTACTGAAAATTCACACATAGACCTTTTATATGCTTCAAATACATAGAGAGGAATAGCTCTCAATCAACGAAACTTGCTTAGACTGATTCAAAGAGCTTTACCACTACCAACTCCGGTATCCTAGTTTCTCAAACAATCATTTCCAGATTATAAACATTTTACTTAACCAAAACAGACGCAACAAATGCATCCAACACACACAGGCACACATACATAATTTCAAAGTAAGAAATTCATTTAAAACAAGAGTAAAAAGCAATAGGAGGATTACATATATCAGCCATATCAAAAGTGGTAAGTCCAGCATCGGCATACCGAAGCATTGCATCAACAGTATTGTTTCGATCAATTCTACCCCATCCCCCACTTGTTTGCCACATCCCATTCACGACTTTACATATTTCCAACGAATCATTCCCATTCTTAACTATGCTCCTTTTGTTATCTTCAGTAATGACACACTGAATTTGGTTTGGGTTCAACTTTCTTACTGGATTATACCAGGTTTTTGTTCCCCATTTAACTGAATTCAATGTGAAGCTGCTTAAAGAACTCTGTAAGAATTCCGCCATTCCAATGGTTTTCAGATATTATTGTTTTACAACTTCGTTTTTTCACCTAAAAAATAGCATTCGATAATGGCATTTTCGTAAGCCAAATGTTAAGCACTAAGAGTAGCAACGTAGCAAATGAAACAAGGTGACGTGTGGATTTTACGACGCTATCTTGGTTGTGTGGTCAGAAAAATTAATAAAACAAACCAATGAAATGATGCCACGTATACGAAAAATGAGCGTACAGTGATCGGCCATGTCGAAGGTAGAGAGACCGGCGTCAGCGTAGCGAAGCATGGCTTCGACGGCGTCGTCTCGGTCGATTCTGCCCCAAGCTCCACTGGTCTGCCACATGCCATTAAGGACCCTACATATGTCGAGCGAATCGTTCCCGTTATTCACCGTGATTTGCCGAGCAGTCGCTTCCTCCGTCGTTGCGGTGGCCGGTTTTGAGCAACATTTTACTGTTTTGCGGCTGAGTTGTTGTCTGGATCCGGAGAACCGAGTTGAAGTTATGAGTTTGGTGGATCTTTTGGACGAAAAGAGGTTGAGACTGGGGAAGACGGTGGATGAGGCCATTTTTGGTACACAAGTATCCAAACTTAAAGACGGACATAAGAATAAAACATACCCTACTAATAGTTTTTATTTTTTTTCTTTTCGCTATTAAAAAAATAATTTTTCTTTTCACAAACTTGAATTCTAGAAATTTGCAGTGCACGCGAAAAAATGGCAAACAAATTTATACATTGAAATTATAAAACAATATTAAAAGGACAATATATTATTAAATTATTCAAATAACAAAAAATTTACAAATTACTACCCGATATACATTGGTAAATTTTTCTCTCCAATAATATTGTTGAACCATATTTTATAATATTTTGATATAACAAATTAAGGCAAAGTGTTTTTGGACTTAATTGAATTTGTTTAAAGTTTTCAAAAATAATTCAAAGTTTAATAAACTAGAATTTGAGCACAAAACTGTTTTCAAAGTACGAAGTACCGATATTATTCTTACAATATCGATACTATATGAAAATTACCGATATTGTTCATGTAGTACCGATACTAAAGGTAAAAGAAGTATCGATACTCTCAAGGTAGTATCGATACTATCAGCTTGCTCAAATTATAAAATGCAAAATAGGTATTGATACTCAAAGGAGTATCGATACTGTAAAGTAGTATCGATACCATGAGCATAGTATCGATATTGATCAGGCCCAATGGCTAGTAACGGCTAGTTTATTTAAATATAACAAAGAAAGTATCTGTACTCATTAAATGAGTATCGATACTCCCTGTTTTGTGCAGTTTTATTTTATAGAAAAATTATCCCCAACGGCTCCAAATCATCCCCAACAGCTAGAAACGGCCACAAACACATTCCAACATATAAAAACAAGAGGACACTTGAATAAGGGCCAAAAAACTTATCCAAACATTCCAACACAATAAAAGAGTTTTTCATTCCTATTTTCCTTTCTCTTGTAAATATTTTTGTTCTTATGAGCTTAATTTTGTAAACACTTACTTTGTAAGGGTTTCTTGTTTACATCTTTTTCTTTTTGTAAAAGGGGTTTTGATTCTAGTATAGCCAAGTGAAAAACTAGGGAGTTGTAAATGTCACTCTTAGTCATTGAAAAAGAAAAACCAAATTAGTGAATTTGTTGGAAAATTCTAAGTGAGAAGCTTAGGTAGTGGATGTAGACTTGGTTTATAAGTCGAACCACTATAAATTATTGTGCATATTTTCTTATATTTATACTCTTTACTCCCTAAACTTTAAATTGCCAATTCACCCCCTCTTGGCATATTTTCGGTTGATCTTTAAGCTTCATAAATCCTAACATTTGATATTAGATATTGACGCATTAGAAGGTTTAACAAGCTTGAGACGATCCTTGAATAAGCTCTATCAATTCCCGACACAACCGAGAAGATGGCTTCGACCTCCGGCTCTTACTACATTGAAGACTCTCAACCGGTTAACAAGCCACCTTATTTTAATGGAGCAAATTATGCCTATTGGAAGAATAAGATAATGTTCTTCATTCAAGCCAGCGATCTAGGAGCTTGGAACTCAATCATGAAGGGATACTTCATTCCACCCAGTGATATTGATGAGTGGAGTGGAGTGATGGAGAGAAAAAAAAGTTCCAACTCAATTCAAAGGCTATGCACATTCTATTTTGTGCATTAGGCCCGGATGAATATGGAAGAGTCTCCTCTTGTTCTAATGCCAAGGAGATTTGGGGCAAGCTCTAAGTCACTCATGAAGGAACCAACGAAGTAAGGGAAACCAAAATTAGTCTTCTCAACCATAGCTATGAGAATTTCAAGATGAAACCGGATAAAGACATCAAAGCTATGACGGATAGATTTTCTGTAACACCCCCAACCCATACCCGACCCGGATATGAGTCAGAGATACTACATTGACTTTAAAACATAACTCTTAATAAATAATAGTAAAATATTTGTACTTGTATTAATAAAATACAATAATATACATACTGTAATATAAGTTTACCAAAATATTCAGAGCATACACCACTTAACCCTTTAATTACATGCCAACTGCTATTTACATCACAAAATGACCTACTGATTAAGTTGCTTCTGATCTGATGGTTGCAGGAGTAATACTGTCAAGCTGCTTCACCTGTCTCGTCTAATTCCTCGGATCCTACGTGTGAAACACTCACACGCTAAGTCATCGACTTAGTGAGGCAATAATAATAACAAGGCAATGTAATGTAATGAAAATGTCAGGATCATATGAGATGAGATGCAAACATGTACTTGATCAATGTAGTATACTTCATCAATATCCATACCTGTAAGCGTATGACTGTAACATTCATGAATCTGTATTAATAAGTTTACTGGCCCATGATAGCATATTGAGAACCTAAGGTATTTGAGTAATGTGAGGTTGTGCACTATGCTGTCACCACAGCTCGTATAAATGCACCGAAGTGCCCCGTAGAATTGCACCGAAGTGCCCGTAGAATTGCACCGAAGTGCCCGTAGAATTGCACCGTAGTGCCATATAATGATGTCCATAAGGACCACATAGAATTCCTTAAGAATCATATACATATACTATGGATCAAGTATGTGTCTTTCAAGACTTCACACAGGTTCCAAAGGATATACATATGTCCTAAAGAACCGAGTATACCCTCTACCCTTGGCATGCCAACTATACCTATAGTTCTCATCTACATAACATGGGCTTATACATTTCCCGTAGTTCATATCGCGTAGACATAGTATTTCCATACCTTTAACACATAGGCATATCATTTACATACCTTTATCACCTAGTTCATATAACTTTTTCTGCATATTCATGTCATGTAATACATATAATATGAATTCATGTCATGTAATATATTTAATACAAATTAATGTCATGTATCATAATATGGAATGTAATCATATGTCAAAATATGGAATCTAGACTTATCACAAGTCTAGAACTGAATATACTACTATATTCATGTTATGCATATGCACTCACCTATACTTCTTTGCCTTTTCCTCGATCGATTCTACTTGTAGATTGTTCCCGAACTCGAGTAGGCTCGGTATCTACATAAACATAATTTTCAAGATGATCATCAGATGTCTATGTCTTGAAATTAAGCTTTAATAGCTTACTAATTTAAAGAATTTATAGCTTAGTCTTGCTTTCTTTTCTTTCTTTCTTTTTTTTTTCTTATGGGGGAATCGGTTCCCCCCCTGGGGGTATCGATTCCCCCCAAGCATTCTGGAATTTCATATACGATGAGGGGGTATCGGTTCCCCCCTGGGGGTATCGATTCCCTCTAGCATTCTGGAAATCATATTCGTTGAAGGGGTATCGGTTCCCCTTGAATGGGTACCGATTCCCCTAGCCCGAAAATCCTAATTTGAGCTCGGAAATCATCCCATTTCAGCTCAAACATACATATTTCACTCTCTTTACTACTCTTAGCTTTCATACACTTACTTTAACTAATTATTATCCATTAAATACCTCTAAAACTTAGAAATCTAATTCTCCATGTAGAATTTAAGAATCCAACCCAAATTCCAATATGTTCTAATTTGAATTCTAACACCTCATACTTCTTAGTTAGCTTCTTGACAAGTCAAAAATCTTATTCAAACTTCACAAACTCATTCCTATCAAAATTTCATCTAAAAATTCATTTTCCAAATCATTCTCTAAAACACTTATCTTGTTGTTTTAATGTCATATAAGCTTTCCTTTAGCTTATATAACATCCAAGCTTTCATTTCCAATCTTAAAAATCAAAGAAACTACCAAGGTTCAGATTCTTACCTTTACTTGCAAGCTCCACGTTGAGAGAAAGAAGAGAAGAAAATAAGGAAGAAGGGAGAAGAAATGGGAGGGTTCTGGAACCTAATATCACACGTGGGTCTCATATAGCCCCATAACATTTTATTTTTTTAATTAAAAATTACTTACAAATGACCATTTGGTCCTTACTTCCATCTCATATTTACTAACCATACATTTTAAACTATATAATTATTCTACTTTAATCACCAAATGTTGAAACTTTGCAAATTAATCACTCACCAGACATGGAGGATGTTACAAATCTCTCCCCCTTAAGAAAATTCGTCCTCGAATTTTCATTGCACAAACAAATGTGGGTATTGATGTCGCATATCTTCTTCACGCTCCCATGTTGCTTCTTCTACTTTGTGATTTCTCCACAATACTTTGACCAAAGGAATGATCTTGTTCCTCAATTGCTTAACTTCATGTGCTAAAATTTGAATCGGTTCTTCCTCATAAGTCAAGTCAGGACGAACCTCAATCTCTTCTGGTGTCACGATATGAGAAGGGTCAGATCTATATCTTCGAAGCATTGAAACGTGAAAAACATCATGTATCTTTTCCATCTCAGGTGGTAAAGTTAGCTGATATGCTACAGGTCCTACTCTCTTTACAATCTCTTATGGTCCAATAAACCGAGGACTCAATTTTCCTTTCCGACCAAATCTCAACACCTTCTTCCATGGAGACACTTTTAAAAACACTTTATCTCCAACTTGAAATTCAATTTCTTTCCTTTTAAGATCAGAATAGGACTTTTACCGATCAGAGGCCACTTTGAGGTTATACTGAATTTCTCGAACTTTCTGTTCTACATCTTGAATTAAATCCGGACCAAGAACACTTCGGTCTTTGAGTTCATACCAATTTAATGGAGTACGACATTTTCTTCCATATAATGCTTCATAGGGGGCCATCTTTATACTAGACTGATAACTATTGTTGTAAGCGAACTCTGCCAGCGGTAAATACTTTTCCCATGATCCTTTAAATTCCATTACGCACGCTCTCAACATATCTTCCAATATTTGAATAGTTCTCTCTGATTTCCCATCAGTCTGAGGATGAAAAGCTGTACTAAAGTTTAAACGAGTCCCCAACGCTCCATGCAAAGATTTCCAGAATCTAGAAGTGAATCGAGGGTCCCGATCAGAGACTATGGAAACAGGTACTCCATGCAATCTAATAACTTCTCTAATATACAGCTCTGCATACTTTTCCATAGAGAAATCTGTTCTAACCGGGAGGAAATGCGCTG